TTCGCTCAAAATTCAATAATAGGGACGAGCGTTCAGTTTAGAAACCGAACCCCGCTTTGGAACGAACGCTAAGTCAATGACCGAGCACAATCAGAACGAACGTTGGTATAAACCGAACGTTGGGTAGGACGAACGTTTAGGTATATGACCGAACACCAGTTATGAACGAACGTTCAATATAGAAACGAACGCTCTGTAGACGAACGTTCAACAGAAGGTCGAACTTCATTTAGGACGAACGTTATTAAGACGGACGCTTACTTAAGGCCGAAAGTCACTCATTTATAAAGTTTTAAATATTTAAATATTACTGAGCTAGACGAACGCTCAGATCATCAACTAGGGACGCTCATTCTCGGGCAGAATTCTTTCCAAATGAAAGAACTTAGTCTAAGTAAGCTTAACTGAAAACCGAACGGTTTAAGACGTACAGGGACGAACGTCCTTTATCAGTACAGAGACCAGATTTCTCAACTCTTAACAGAATTTTCCAGATTTCGATTTTATGAACTTGAAACTTTCCTTTCAGATTTAATACATCAAATCATACAGATTTCAACATTTGGATCATTCAAATATACAATCACCATACTCCATTTATACAGAATCAAATCAATATACATTTAAATCAAAAAATCAGCAACAACATATATAATACAATTAACAGTGTTCATTCATGACAGATTCAATCGATCTAATCATTCCAACTCTATAACATTCCACATCTTTCATGCGTATCCAAAACAACATGCAAATGAACCAGAATTTATATCTCATATCAGTAAACGTTCATAAGGCTCAAATATCAGATTTCATATACATGCAACTCAGATTATAAAATCAAGCAGTATGAATTAAACATATAAGCTTCCCTTACCGGATTGAAGTTCCAACTTGTCCTAGATGAAAATGGCTTTATCCAACTATGCTTCTATTATATTCTTGATTCTTCCAAAACAATCTAATCAAAAATTGCAGAACTCTGAGACTACATACTTGCATGCACTAAAACTCTATTCTTCCAGAAACCTAAGAACGAAATACAGTAAGAAGGCTTACCAGATTGGATTCAGTTTCTGTTTGGTCCAAAATGGAGATCACAGCAGTACTAACATCCTATGGTGCTGCAATTGTGATCAGAGAGGAAACGTGAGTTTTCTGATAGAGAGAAGTTAAGGATTCTTAGAGAGAAAATTTGGAGAAAATGAAGAGTTTGGTTTTCTGAGGAAGAAGATGAATGAGTGTGCAGGTGAAAGGGTTCTCAGAACACTTTGGTTTTGTTAAAGTAACGTTTGCTTGAACAAACATGTCCAAGACTGACACCTGCATACTAAATTCTGATTTGTAAGTTTCTAACGTGACAAGTGGCAGGTGTGCATGTAAGGAGTGGTGCGTTTTTAATGTTGCAGAGAATGATGGTGGTTCAGTTTTCTGTGCATTGCAGAGGTGAAAATCAGAGTTGAAAGTGGGTTTTTAATTACCCGCAACAGTGACGTGGTGTGTGTGTTTAGTGGTGTGATGTCAGGATTAAATTTGCTAATTATCCAGGGTCTCACATTCTCCCTAACTAAAAAATTTTTCGTCTCGAAAATCAGAATTTACCTATGAATAAGTGTGGATATAAGTCCCTCATTGCACTCTCCACCTCCCACGTTGAATCTCCATTCTTGGCATCCCACACTACCTTCACCAATCGAACATCCTTCCTCTTGTGTAATTTAGTGCGAAAATCATCAATGCGATGGTTGCAACTCCAGCGTTCGATCAGGTTGTAGTTGAATGTCTTCCAGTTCTAAAACATGAGAGGGATTGGCTATATACTTCTGAGTTGAGACACATGGAAAACAGGATGAAGGTTTGATAGTTGAGGAGGCAAAGCAAGCTCATAAGCTACTGGTCCAATCTTCTTCAGATTTGATACGGTCCTATGAACTTGGGAGACAGCTTCTTTGGACGAACACTCTTCCCACTCCAGTGATTGGATTCAACTAAAAATACATGGTCTCCTGCTGCAAACTCCAAGGGTCTTCTCCTCCTATCTGCATAAGATTTCTGTCTGCTCAAGGATGTCTTCAATCTGTCCCGAATCAATTTCACTTTATCAGTAGTTGCTGGATAAGTTCTGGTCCAGTTAGCACATTCTCTCCTCCTGAAACCAGCAAAGTGGCGTTTGCACTTCCTTATAGAGAGCTTCAAAAGGCGCCATACCAATGCTAGACTGGAAACTGTATTGTATGTGAATTCCACCAGTGGCAAGACCTCATCCCATGCGCCTAAATGGTCCAGGACACACGCCTAAGCAAATCTTCTAACGTCTGGATGGTCCTTTCAGATTGGCCATCTGTTTGCGGATGATACGCAGAACTCATCTGTAGCTTGCTTCCCAATTCACCTTGTAAGATTGCCAAAAACGAGATGTGAATCTCGTGTCTCGGTCAGAAACTATGCGTGAAGGCACCATGAAGACGCACTATCTCCTTGATGTACAGCTTAGCACAAATTTGTCATTGACATCTTCAAATTCACGGCTAAGAAGTGGGCGCTCTTAGTTAATTGTCCACAATTACCCAGATTGAATCGTGATTCTTGACTGTGCGTGGCAGATGAGTCACAAAGTCCATGGAAATGCTGTCCCACTTCCATTCAGGAATCTCCAATTGTTGAAGCAATCCACCTGACGTTGGTGTTCAGCCTTGGCGCGTTGACAGGTTAAGCAAGATGCCACAAAGCGTGCAACATCACTCTTCATTCCCGGCCACCAGAAAGATTTCCTAAGATCTTGATACATCTTAGTCATACGGGGTGTATGCTAAGACGACTATGATGAGCTTTTCCAATATAATACGTTTCAGCTCTCCATCATTGGGAATGCAAGTTCTCCCAAATAACGCAACATACCATCCGTTCCAGCATTAAACTCCTTAGCTTTTTCTGAACCGAGTGCATCAAATATCTTCAACAGTTCTTCATCCTCACGTTGCTTCATCCAGATTCTGTCAAACACATCACTAGAAATTCTAAGATTACAGCAACCTTATTACGTTCTCTCTAATTCAAATTGTAATCTTAGATCTCTAAAATTCTCCACCAAGTTCAGCTCCTTCACCATCATCAATGAGACTTGTACTGTATTCCTGCTTAGGGCGTGCCAACGTTGGCTTTCCCAGGGTGATATAGCAGTTCAAAATCATAATCTTTTAAAAATTCCAGCCAACGTCTTTGCCTCATATTCAGCTCCCTCTGATCAAACAAATATTTGAGGCTCTTGTGATCACTAAAGACTTGGAACGTTGATCCGTATAATAGTGCCTCCAAATCTTTAGTGCAAAAACGAAGCTGCCAACTCCAGGTCGTGTGTGGGATAATTGCGTTCATGAATCTTCAACTGGCGAGACGCGTACGCTACTGCACGTCTCTCTTGCATGAGCACACAGCCCAAACCTTGGTGAGATGCGTCACAGTACACTTCAAATGGCTTGGACGTGTCTGGAATAATCAAAACTGGCGCGCTCGTCAATTTCATCTTCAGCTCCTGGAACCGTTCCTCACACAGATCAGTCCAAGCGAATGGCTGATCCTTTCTAGTCAATCTAGTAAGAGGAGCCATATCTTGGCGAACCCCTCTATGAAACGTCTGTAATAACCAGCCAGCCCCACAAAACTCCTCACTTCAGTGACTGAACGCGGGCTCTCCAATCTAACACTGCTTGCACTTTAGAGGGATCTACTGAAATACCTTCAGACGATATCCACATGCCCAGAAACTGCACCTCCTTTAACCAGAATTCACACTTGGACAGCTTTGCGTACAACTCTTTCTCCCTCAACACGGTTAGTACTGTTCTCAAGTGTTCTTCATGTTCAGCATTGGTTTGGAGTAGATGAGAATATCATCTATGAACACAACTACAAATTTATCCAAATAGGGTCTAAATATCCGGTTCATGTAATCCATGAAGATGGCTGGAGCGTTCGTTACTCCAAATGGCATTACCACGTACTCATAATGCCATAACGTTGATCTGAATGCTGTCTTCTGGGATGTCGTCCTCCTCACCCTTATCTGGTGATATCCTGAACGCAAATCAATCTTAGAAATACTGTTGCTCCATGCAGCTGATCCAACAAATCATCTATCTTGGCAAACGGGTATTTGTTCTTGATGGTCAGCTTGTTTAATTGCCTGTAATCTATACATAACCGAGAGCTGCCATCTTTCTTTTTCACCAAGAGTACCGGAGCTCCCCATGGTGATACGCTCGGTCTAATGAATTTCTTCTCCATAAGCTCTTCAATTGCTTCTTGAGTTCAACCAACTCTGCAGGTGGCATTCGGTAAGGTTGAACAGATATAGGAGCTGCCGTTGTCACCAAATCATGGTGAATTCGACTTCTCTAACAGGAGGCAATCCTGGTATCTCTTCTGGAAAAACGTCCAGAAATTCACTCACCACTGCTCGTTCCGTACTGCTCTCATTGGACGTCCGTGCTTCCGTCAACCCTCCTAACTCCTTGTCTTCATGTGTCATAATGAGAAAAACAGCTTGCACCTTCCATTATATCCTCCCTTAACTGACCGAATGTAACTCCCACACATTCTTCATCATCTTCAGGAAACACTAATTCCTTCTGACTAAATTGAGATTTTTCAACCAAAGTGAGGACTAAATTGGCTATTAAACCTTTAAATTTCTTGTCACATACTTTAGAGATTCAAATCTATCTTAAGAAAATGACATAGTAGTACTCCAACTTACTATTGGTATAATTAAAAAAGAACAATTAAGGTATTCCAAGAATTAACAAATCAATATTATAATTTTATTGTATGCTAAATTCTAATTCAAAATTCCAACAAATTTTATGTAATTTAATTACTTAGGCACCAAATTTAATTCCATATATATTACATTACACGTGGACTGTTGGGTCAAAAAAATGACACTACTCTACACACCAACCTTCCTAAAATCCTAATCCAGAAGCCATTTTGCTTGGTAGGTAAAGTTCCAAACCTTCACCAACCTTTTCACTCAATTATTTGGGTGTAAGCAATTCCTGTATTCTACATGTGTTAGTTGAGAACCAAAAACCACTTTATGTGACTCAATCCAACAACCACTTGCATTGTCATTTGCCACCAACCCCCATACCCTCTCCTCACAAAACCCCTCTCATTGCATACATTGACAAAAAACAAAAACAACCTCATTTCAAAGAGACAGACCCTTCACAGAATAAGATCCAGGAACTGAGTGCAGAGCGCAAGGTGTACGGCTTTAAGGAAGATTGAAATGGCCCAGGTGAGCAGAGTGCACAATCTTGCTCAAAGCACTCAAATTTTCGGTCATTCTTCCAATCCCAACAAACCCAAATTGGTGAATTCAGTTTCGTTGAGGCCACGCCTTTGGGGGTCCTCAAAATCTCGGAGTCTCATTCATAAAAATGGAAGCGTTGTGGGAAATTGCAATGTGGGTATGAGAAATTCCGGCGTGTTTAAGGTTTCTGCCTCTGTCGCCGCCACGGAGAAGCCGTCGACGGCGCCGGAGATTGTTTTGGAACCCATTAAGGAAATCTCGGGTGCCATCACATTGCCAGGGTCTAAGTCTCTGTCCAATCGAATTCTGCTTCTGGCTGCTCTATCTGAGGTGAAAGTTTATTCATTTAGTTGTTTATTTTTTGCGGTTATGGAATTAGGAGCTGTAATCCAGATTTTGAATATTTGAATTTTTGTAATCTTGTGAAAATGTAGCGTCCTATCCAATGACAAATATTTACGCCAAACTACGGGGCTTATTATGAAAAACGAGCATAGAAATGTTTGTAGGTGCTTTGACTGGGTAACATATTCAATATCTGGATTGATTTACATGTCTGTACAAAGGAGTGTGCAAGTAATGTGCTAATAATGATATGTCTTGCTAAAGTACTCCTAAAAACAAGTGGGAGTATGCATATGGATATAGGAAATGTATTAGGGGAGGTACTTAGCTTCTCAATTATTAATGTGAAAATCAATGCATGATATTCCAATACATTCATGATTCTGTCTTCTAAGGTGGGTTGCTTACTTTGGAGGAGCTGGATCCATTCGGTGAGAGAGTGAGAGGAACTTCTCAAATAAACTATCAAAATAGACAGTCAATATTTGATTCAATTTAAGTAAAACAATCCTTGAGTGTTGATTAACCAAGTGTGATGATTGTGTGAGCAATATTAACACTAGAAGATAAATCCTTTCCCAAAGCGAAAATTAGAATGGTGTTTGAAGTTCTGTGTTACTTTAGTTGTATTATTCTTACAACTTTCAATTGCTTAATAGATGTCTTGTTGGACATTACTTATGCGTTATTCTGTTATTTGTATACAGGGAACAACTGTTGTAGACAACTTGTTGTATAGCGAGGATATTCATTACATGCTTGGTGCATTAAGGACCCTCGGACTACGTGTGGAAGATGACAAAACAACCAAGCAAGCAATTGTGGAAGGCTGTGGGGGATTGTTTCCCACTGCTGGAGAATCTAAAGATAAAATCAATTTATTCCTTGGTAATGCTGGTACTGCAATGCGTCCTTTGACAGCAGCTGTTGTTGCAGCTGGTGGAAATGCAAGGTCTGTTTTTTATATTGTTCATTCATCATGATATTTGCATTATTTGTTGTATAACTTGTCACAGCAAAGTTCATGTTCATCCTGCATCCTGCTACAACTCTAAATATCATCGAGATTAGCATTTTTTTTTTATTTAAAATGGACTTCTAATTAGCTGTGTTTATTTAACATGTAAATTAGCCTGTCAAACTTGCCTATAGATATTTTGATTATACACTGGGGAACGCACCCGAGGGTCTTCCTCATGATCTACTTCAATCTCACCATCCACTGCTTTGAGTATCTAATAGACGATCTTGATGTTCAAAATATTTCAGCTATGTACTTGATGGAGTGCCTAGAATGAGAGAGAGGCCAATTGGTGATTTGGTTGCTGGTCTGAAGCAGCTTGGTGCAGATGTTGATTGCGTCCTTGGCACAAACTGTCCGCCTGTTCATGTGAATGGGAAGGGGGGACTTCCTGGTGGTAAGGTATGGTTGGATTTCTTTTAGAATGTGGCCTCAGCTTCCTGAAGCAAAAATCTAATTTAATGAGCCTTCCTGTTTCCGCCTCTTAAGGATAAAACACTATTGCCCTTTTGATTTAGGAAAGAAAGAGAAAAGAATGAAAAAGGAGTAGAAAATGAGATGATTATTTAGGTTATTTTATAGGAGAGAATGTGAAAGAAAAGAAAGTTATAATTTTTCCTCATCTTATATGGTTGTAAAGAAAGTGATAGGAAATAAATTATATAAAATGACATAAATATACTCCATAAAAAAGTATGAAAGTATAATTTGGTCTTTCAAATGTAAAAAACACTTTCTCTCTGCTTTTCTTCTGAAATCTGAGAGGAATTAGAGATAGATTAGAATAACTTTAATATCCTGATCATTTATTTATTTTATAAATATTATATACCTCAATTCAATAATAGAATATTTTTATCTCCGTTCCCTTTCCCTTTAAAGCCTGAGTTTCAAGTCAAACATACTGTAATTGAAATATATTTTGGAAGGACATTGCCTTGTTGGTTTTCGTTTTCGGAGTTTATCCCTCACTTCTATTATATAGCCTTTGGTCTCTTCACGAGTCAATTGTTTATTTCTCTTAGATACATTTTTTCCTCATTCATAAACGTTATATAGATATCATCATATTTCAGAAACACTACGCTTTTTTTAGTTATGCCTTCTCCTTACGTTTGCCAGTTTTTTTTGTTCCATTTTTTATCTTATTATCCCATTACACTTGCAGGTGAAACTGTCTGGATCAGTTAGCAGTCAATACTTGACTGCTTTGCTTATGGCAGCTCCTTTAGCTCTTGGAAACGTGGAAATTGAGATTGTTGATAAACTGATTTCTGTTCCATATGTTGATATGACTCTTAAGTTGATGGAGCGGTTTGGAGTTTATGTCGAACACAGTGGTAATTGGGACAGGTTCTTGGTCCATGGAGGTCAAAAGTACAAGTAGGTTTCTATGCTTTAGTGTTGAGTGGCCTTGTCACATCCAATATACAATGAATTAAAAACTCATGATTCCTATCAGGTCTCCGGGCAATGCTTTTGTTGAAGGTGATGCTTCAAGTGCCAGTTACTTCCTAGCTGGTGCAGCAATCACTGGGGGGACTATGACTGTTGAGGGCTGTGGCACAAGCAGTTTACAGGTATTCATGGTGTTTTCTTATTTTATGGCTTTTATTGTACCATTCCTAATTCAATGCATGTCTTTTATTGTCCTTACTCCCAAAAACTAGATAGTTGTATCCTCAATGGCCCTTGGATATCCTGTTTCATCTCTTGAGCTGATACTGCTTTCATTATCCTTTTCAGCAAACTTTTCCCTGTCTCTGTAGTGTTTATAAATTGATATCATCATGTGAACTCTCACAATCTTTTCTCCCCCTCATTTTATTTGTTTTTAAAGTACTTTCTGAAAACATTTATTATTCCACATTTGTATAACAGTGATAAAAAATATTGTCAAGTAAAGCAAGTTAGTATATCATATAATGATATCTTGATGATTCAAATGGTAAAAGCCTGGACAATACTGTTTTTGATTTTGTAGAGGATTATATTGATTCTGTTTTCTCAAGTACGTGTGTGTTGTCTCTTAAACACAGTTTGAACTCAATGTCCCTCTCTTTCCATAGTTTAACAAATACATTAAAGAGCCCCATTTTAATGGGCCACCAAATGAGTGGGCTGTAAAAATGCCCTAGCCCCCAAAGCTCCAACTACAAGACTTTAATTAACTCCTAAATATAATACCGTCAACCTGGGTCAAAGGTTGAGCCAAGTTGTCCAGTGTTGAAGGTCAATTGGAGTTGGCCTAAACTGAAGTTTGAGTTGAGT